GTAAGTGGAACTCATATGTAGCAATGTAAATATTATGTCTTAATCAGATATTCTAACTTTTATTCTTTTGATCCCAAAGTTATATTTGGGAGACAAACGTAATGCTAGTGAGGTGTCTATGTAGAAGGAAAAAAGTCAATAGGTCCACATTTTTGAGCAAAGTATAAGAGCAAAGTATAAAAAGAAGAAAGTATAAGAAAATCTTTATTCCTTGAAGAGTTTAAAGGCTTTCTGGTTTAAGGATGAAATAAAACTATTTAAAAAACAGCAATGAAAGACTGCCTGGGATTGTGGAGGGCAGGACTTATGAATTATTACTTGCCTGCTAATTAAATGGATTTAAGTTTTACATTAACAGGACATAATGAAGGGGGGTAAATTTATGACAATAAAAGTATATTGAGGTCAAAGGGTATGACACAAAAAACAGGAAGTCGGTCCTGGGACTTCCACTTCCATAACAACGTCAAACTTTAGCCATTCATGGAAGTTGAATCTTCTGCCTTCCGTGTTCTCTTGGAATATATGAGGGTGATTTCCAACCTAAAATACAGAATAAAGAGTTTAATGCTATATCAGTTCCATGAAATCCTGACAAGGATATTCTTAAGTGAATGAACACAAGTCGGTTTTCAGAAAGATGCTTGTAAATAGATAACTTTTGAATACACTCTTTGTAACTGGCTGCTCTCAAAGTATACATCCACCTTTCTCCTTTCCCCATGTTTTCCTGTTAACTGCCATGTCTTGGTAACATTTTAAAACCAAGGTTCCAAACTCACAGCCTGAAGGCAAATTCAACCTCTAGACGTGATGGGTATGATCCACCCAGTATTTTAAAGATTTGGAAATATTATGTAATAATTTGGATTTTTAGGTTTCTCTTGATACATCAGAAGATCTTTCAACACATACTTGAATTTCAAGATCTGCTTGAACAAAATATTTCAATGCCCACTTTAAGTGAGTCCCACTATTTTCTGTTGCTTACACCCAGGCAGCTGTCCTCATAAAATACATACCTGGCTCCTGCAGGCAGGTAACTGACTCCCAGATTAAACTGGTATGTGTGTGGGGTGCATATGTTTACTAACTAAGCATTCAACCAAGATGACTTAAATAATTTCAACTGCATGAGTTAAGAGACTATAATCTGTGTTCATTCGTTCCTTTAACATTCACTTATGGCTTATCAAAGAGTAAAATATTCTCATAGAGATAAACAAAATCGATTCCTGATTATAAATACTACAAAAAAAGAGAACTTCCTGTAGCCCCAGAGCTGCACAGTTGTTCCCTGAGACCTTTATCCCTACTTTCGTTTTCTCCCCTCCTGAGTTTTTTTTTTTTCCAAAAGTATGACAGAAAAGTCATGATTTATTTTTTTTAAAAGAAGATTTATTTTGGATTAAGTGATTTCATGATGTAACATGGTTTTAAACAAAAATAGAGATCAGTATGAAAATAAAACGAATTGTACACATTAAAATATCTTTCCCTCAAAGCATTTCATAATCATAAAAAAATACAACACAAGAGTCCGGGGTTCAGGTGAGGATAAGAATACAGACTTCCCAGAAAATGAAGAACTAGCCCACAATTCAGTCCTAGGCTCCGCACAATGCCACCCATGAACCAGTCCTAGGATGTCAACAATCTGCATTATTTGCTTTAAAAAGAAAGAAAGAAATTTAAATGTTAGGTGAAATGAGAGTTGTGTTCTCTTAATCCTAATATCAAATATCGCCCATTTTTATTCTCTATTAAAAGTCACATTGAATAAATATGAAGCTTAAATCAGCTCAACAAAAATAAAGCCACCGCTACGAACTGTGACTCATGGTATGGTGGTCATGAGCGGGATTGGCAAAGAGACATGTTTCCTTTCGGCTTAAAAAAATAAACCACCCTTGCTTCACTGAAATCTTAGAAAGAAATGTTTTTACAGAGCCTTAATATTAAAAAGTATTATTATAAAATTAGATCAATACTTTCAGTAAGAGGCGAGATGTGTGTGTTTTCCTTCATTTATTTTGGAATGCCTGCATCCCTATTATAAAAACATGTAATCTTATGCACTTTCCAACATATTAACAAGCCTAAATTTGACTTATGATATCATGTAAAGAAAAATAGGTAATTACATCTTTTAGAGCATTAGGGTCTTGAAAGAATGTTCAGTTCTGTGTGTTTCCTCGTTAATCCAAGGTATATCTTGAGCATTATCCATGGCTTTTTACAGAAGGTGACAGTAAGCAGTAACTGCTGATTGATTCAGTTTGAGTCATGCGACCCACCTATCAACACTCCTCAGGGTTGTAATAGCTCCAGAGAAAGCTGGACAGAAAGTTATCACTAGGCCAAGGCCACTGGGCATAGAAATTGTGTCTATAAATTGGATTCTCCCACATTCCCCAGAAGCCACACAATTAGAGCCATCCTCATCCGCTGAGCTGTTCAATCATGAGCACCAAGTAAAGTACCTTGCAGATAAACACCTGTTTATTTCCTGCCTTAATTCACTTCTTGGGTGGAAACAATGACCAGGTCTCCGTTTACAACTCAGTAGCCTCAACCTTAGGATTCTGCTTTCTAGATGAACAAGGAACATTGAAATTGCCATTACAGCACGAAAATGCCTCAACACCTATGCCAATGGCAAGGGCTGTCTGCTGCAGAACAAACTGAGCATAATGAAATAAAAGTACCCTTTCTTTTATTTCACACATGGTGTTCAGTAGTATGACAGTAACTCCCAGATGCAAATGCACATCGCTGGCTCTCCTAAGCTCTAGGTAGCCTTGATACCTTGGGCCTTAGGTTCTGCCTTGCAGTACAGAAAATGTTAACCTACTCAGTTATGAAATGAGGGCATTTCCCACCAAGCTGAGTGCCACTCAGCGTCCCCCTTAGCAGCCAGGCATTTTTCTTTTCCGAGTCTGAAGCCACACTGGCGTGGATTCCTCCTCCAGTTCATGCTCCGAGCCAATCCTTCGGCCTCCTCATGTCACCCTGGCTGCTTTCTGGTCCTCAACATCCTGTCACCCCTGGCCTGACTGGGCAGCATGGTGTGCCAGCCCCCTGGGCTGCAGCTCCCACTCCTGAGCTTGATGGTTGGTCAATAATTAGCACTGCACTCTTGGAGGTGCCACAACTGCTGGCTCCTTTCATTTTTTAATTTTTATCACCCTTTTAGTGGGTGGTAGTTGGCCTTGAGCCATAATTCAGAGAGCTTCCATGTCGTGAGCATTCCCTTGCTTTTGTGCTAGACTGTAAGTTTTGCCAAATTAGAAAGCAAGTTCCAAGTGACAATCAATCCCATTACATGTAAACTGACATCTCTTGGAAGGAAGATGACCAGGATCTAGAGCGTTGTCACTCATCAGCTAAATCAGAAAGCTGCTAAGATGGAGGAAGGGGGCTTGAAACTCAGCCGTGGCTTGGAGTTTAGGTCTCCCATGCATTTTTATTACTATGCAGGGATACTGTAACCTTTTACTGAGTTTTCAGGAATAAGGTTAAATTGGACACACTTCTGCACCCTTCACTAAAGATCTTTGCCTTGTTAGAAATGACCAAGTCAAAAAGAAAATTTAAGCAAAAAGACAGGAAAAAAATCATTTAGACAAATGTGAGGAAGACAGGGAGAAGAAAGGTGGTTTCTTCCTCCATACCAGTGGAATTCAGCTACCAGGGATTTCTAGAGCCATCCTTATTAAAAATTTAAAAAGAAAGTATGGCCTCTGATTAGTGCTTTTTTTCTGTGATCTTGCTTCCAAATGATATTTGAGGAAACTGAATTGCTACACTGTACAAATCCACCAAAAGCAATCAAATTTTGCCTCCTGTATTAAACTTCTCATGGAAAATTGTGAAAAGCAAATATTAAGTCTATGAGGGTTTTTTTTTCACCACGAATATACTAATTTCTTCATGGAATTTTCAGAAGGTTCACATTTTAAATGTGTTTATTTAAGGAAGTGAGAATTTGATTAGATGAAGCATCTTCCAAAACTGGTTGGAAATAGAATATACAACCATTAATCTCTACATTTCTCAGAATGAAACTCAGAACTTTGACTATAAAGTACTGAAAGGGACCCTGCAAGCCATCTGTAAAAATCAGAGTCAAATGAGGTAGAAATTTAAACTACAACCAACAAAGTAACTCAGGATCAAACAAGACAAAGGACTCGAAAGCCCTGTAAAATTCTAAAGCACGACACAAACATATTCTAAGTCCTTGCCACCTTCCTTCCTTGAGACTTGAGTTGACAGATGAGAATGTCATTGGTAACTATATTCTGATTTTGCAAAACTTACATTCTTTCTAGTTCAATCATATTTTCTGGATTTTATTGATTACCCAGATCCATTCATTTTGTGTACAAAAAAACTGATTGCATTAGTGGCTTGGACTCTCGCTTCACTTCTTGACTGCAGAACTTAAAACTTTCTATTTAAAGTACTTTTTTTGGAGCATTGGTGTCTTTTCTACCGCACTGCCAGCTCCTCATGGGCAGGTTTAGCATCCTCAGCCCCATCAGGAAACCTGTAACGGACTGGAGATGCCAATGAGGTACCTGCTCTCGCCCGAGTGTTCCCCCGATCTGTGACACAGCCTGGCTGTCTTTTAGAGCGTAAGGAGCATCACTTATGAATTTAAGGAAAACAGGACCAAACACCGAGGGATTTGTCTGGGTTCACGGTCCAGAACCTACTTATGGGTATTTCTAATTGTAGAGTATATTAAAGTCTAATTTATCCTGTGGAAGTGCTATTTAATGTTTCATACAGTTATTTTTGGTTGCTTTTTTGTTTTTTTAATGAAGAATAATAACAGATTATTAGGGTTTTCTAGTAGGCTAAGTGCATCTTGATAATTCCCAATTCTGAAAACAGTGTCAATTAGATTCTACTAATTAAGAATGTCTTCATACATTAAAGAGAGCTGTTATTTGAGAAGCTGGATGCCTTAATAAAGAAATATATTTGTTAGAAATAATTCAAGAGATACATTTTATTTCAAGTCTCTTACCTGGTAGTATGACACATAGTAACAAAGTTTTTCAAATCAAATGAAAGCTAACATGGTCTATGAATGTATTTGTTTTAAAAGAAACGTAAACTTTCATATCAGCTCTTTAGAGAATGCCACCTCTGAAACATCAAAAATGTGATTTTTCTCTTTAAAAAAAGCATGTTAGTATTATACCATTTTTCCTTATAATGAAAAACTACAAACAAGTAAAAACCATTTGCAAAATTATAGAGTTGTATTCATGATCTTTGAGTACAAACTAATATTTCCAGTTAAAAGTTATCCCCTGCCTGTTTTTCTCCTGGCCCAATCACTGCATACAGATAAATCTTCCTTTATTTCCAGATTTCTGTAACTTTACTTTTTAGAACATTTCCCCGTGCCATATTATCTGCCTTTTGTAGAGGAACACAGTGTCGCGGGCATATTCCCTTTGGAGGGGCCCAATAATAATCCCAGCGCCACTAACTAGAGACAGTTCTTATAAAACACTGATCAAGCAATGAAGATGACCTCCCTGAAGTGCAGGATGGCCAGCACCCAGCACTGGAATTCCACAGCTACTTATACAAATGTCCCCACAGCTGGCCAACCACAAGTTAACTCAATGTTTTCACAGCCTCCATCTAACTCTACTCTGTTGTGTGTCTGACTAGTTATGGTCATAAACCAAGGGATAAACTGTGGGTGGAATAATACCCCAAACAATTAAAGTGAAGGATACCCTCTCATAAAATGAAGCAGAAATAAGATCAGTGATGTCACACAGTTTTTGTGATACCATAGAAAAATTGTTTTTCAATATTAATAAGAAAGTTATGCATCAGTGAAAATGAAGGCTTAGAAATATAGAGCTGAGGGTTTCAATCTGTGGTATCTTCAATGATGAGGGTAAATGGAGTTCTTATTACTAAAGAGAGTTGATCTCTCTTGTGTTGCTGATGGCTCCCTAACTGGGCTTGGTGTCTAATGATGCTGTACAAATAAAAAGCACAGGGGAAATACGAAATATCTGTATTAAATGCCATCCTGGGAAGTATCTGATGGATGGAAGAGAACCTAATGCATTTTAAATAAATGCATATCATACTATCACGTAGAGTGAGTGTTAAAAAATTATTACTGAGATGCACAGTCCTTGGAGTGGCTGACATGGCACTGTGAGGGAGGTCTGATTGGAAGCTAGTTTCTATTACACTGTTAGGTGATGGAATTGCTGCTGTTAGTCACATTGTAATGTCCCTTCAACTTTGGTACATTCAGTGCAAAATATTTCGGGAAATTTTTTTTACCTTTATAAAAATAAAAGGCCCTTTTGTTTCCTTGAGAGTGCTTAAAAGGATACAGACTAGCATGATGCCCAAGAAAGCATGGAACATGTCAATGGAAAGGGGAGACACATAGGGTGATGGGAGGTTCTTATATACATCTTAAAGAACATAAATATAATGAACCTATCAAAAATAAACAGTACATTTTCCTGATAGGCTGTGATTAATTGCTAGTTATTTTAAAATTGTTTTCATGCATTATAAAGCATAGAATCTGTCCTTAGTAATTCATGGACTATCAGCTGTCCTCAGCTGTAATTATACACAGACCACTTGCATACAAATTGTCACAAAACCACCTTATTGCGAATCTTCAAAATTACCTTATATTGCCTTGGGTTCTGGTTTGCTTGTGTCCCGTGAGAGCTAAAACCTGCAGTGCCCACCATGCAGACACTCATAAGCAAGAAATAAATATTCTGCTGTAACTTAGGGCTTAAATGAATGTACTTTCAGGAAATATACTTTTTATTACATTAATGAACTTGCACTAATTTGGAGATTGGGCCAAGTGCTGCCAGTTTGGCTTGAGCCACGTTCGAGGGAAAGTTTCAAGATTCTCCAGAGTCCCTGGAAACTACCGTGGAGCTGGTCATGGACAGGTTCGTCTTTGTCTTGGAGCAAAAGGAATGGAAAACGTTTGGCAGTCAAGAACTGTTGATTGAAAGACTGTTGTGTCGTTCCCTGAGCATCAAGCTCACCCAAATCCTTGAGAGAGGATGCACGGCCAATCCCAAGCGTGAGGGCACGTGCTCCCGGGAGTGACAGGCTCAGCCTTGCCCCATGGAAGCCTGCTCTGAGGTTCCCGAGGTCCGTCCGTCTCTGGGTGGCCAGCTTTGGAATCACCTGTCCCCAAAGAGCTGGGCTTTGTGCTTGCAGCTCACTCCAGTCCAAAGGTGCTGGTTTCTTCCACGGCCGTTAGGAGCTTCTCGTACAGCATGGAGAAGGACGGGTATGGGGGCAGATCCAGGCGGTTAAAACACGTGTGAGCTCTGCAAAGGGAAGCAGCAGCAGAGGTTAGGGCAAGTTGGAGAAGCCGTGTGTGTGTATGCGCGTGCACGTGTGAGCGTGCATGTGTGCACACCTGCTTCTATTTCATACTCAAATCTGTTCATCACCAATTGTCACACTGCTTTTGGAAAAACTCAAAATATTTTGACTTAAGAAAACACAGGGCTGAGTTCTTTCAAGAAAGTAAGAAAATATTATAACGCTATTTTCCTTAGATTTTCTCACTACCATTTCAAACATATGTATTATTATTTGTTGTGTATGAACCACAAAAGCAAGTTTAGTCTTGTTTGTTTTGTTTTTCCTCTCCTGTTAGAGCCTTATTTAAAGCTGTAAGGTCCCTGGAGACAAGCCACGTCACTCATTCTGCATCAGCAGTCGGCAAGGCTCGGCACAGTCCTGCTTTCTCTGGCAGGGAAGCGCACCAGTGTCTCAACCGCCCCCGGCTCGGAGTCCTGGGAAAGCCCCTGGCTGGACTTCAGTGTCCAAGTCAGTGGACCATTGTTACTTCTTTGAATCTCATGCTATGATCTGTCTTCTCCCCATTCACAGTGCAGGAAAGTGCACTATTTTAAATCGCTTTTACATGAAGTATTCTTCTTTAGAAATACCTCCCCTTTTGCCAAGATAGGAAAAAAAAATATGGTTTCCTGTTATTTGCACCTGAATCACAATAAAAAATAGTTTCCAAATAGTACATCTTATCAGGGAGCAAATCTGCACTTTTGACACGGAATAGGAGGCGTTCTGTTCTGAATATGTAAGTCTGGCTGCTGCAGCTAAAGCATCCCAAGTTTTTAAAATGCTCCTGGGTTGATATGAAATTTCAGGAACTATGATCAACAGGTTAATTCTACAAAATAACATGTTTAGGGCCAGGGATTTAGCTCAGTGGTTCTGCCGCCTGCCTCGCAAGCACAAGGACCTGAATTTGATCCCTGATACAAAAAAAAAAAGTCAAAATAACATGTTTAAATATTTTTTCTTTTCTTTTCTTTCTTTCTTTTTTTTTTTTTTGGTACTGGGGATCAAACTCATGGTCTTGCTCTTATGAGGCAGGTGCAGTGCCACCAAGCCAAATCCCAATCCTTAAATATTTATTCTTATAAATCACTTGTGTGTATGAAGTAAGTGTAACGTGTGTTCCTGGATGTGATGCAGCAGTGAGAAACTCAGAACTGTGGAGCCAGAGAGAGCTGTGTTTGTAATCTGTGTGACTTGGACTGAGTTATCAAAGTCTGGAGCCTCAATGTTCTCGCCTCTAAGAGGTGAGTTATATAACTCGTCTAAGAAGGATGTGAACATGAAATAAAATAACATACAGAGGCGTAACAGAAACGCCTGCTCACAGGCTTTGACTAATTATTAATAGATTATTATTAGCTACACTTCCTTGTCATGAAAAAGATTTACTCTAATTGCCTTCAATAAATTACCCAGAGATAACAATGGCCGTGGAAGCTGTGAGACAATGAAGAGATAATGAAGCAGATGTGTGGTCACGTGGCTATTTGGAAACAGGACTGTGAAGAAGTCTGTTATAAGAAGGACGATTTTAGGACACTGAGACAGTTATGACTCATGGTTTACCCTGACACTACGCACTCCTTGACATTCGTCACCCACTCTGGTCTCATTTGTCATTTTAGTACGATAAACATTGCAGAACTGCATTTAATATGATTCCTATTGTACATCTTTATATTAGAAACCAAACTTGGGCCTCAAGGAAAAGGTTTTACTTTTTTTTTTTTTTTTTGGTACTGGGGTGTTGAACTCGGGTCCTTGGACTTGTGCAGCAGGCGGCGAAACCACTGAGCTAAATCCCTGGCTCCAGAAAAGGTTTTACTTTTAAAAATTCAACTAGCACACTGAGAGAGAGACCAGGAATGTTTAAAACCTCTGTTGTCTGAAGCATTGGGATAAAAATCTCAAACGCGGGCTGTGTCTGTGCTCTGGGGAGATGAAGAAGAGCAGCAGACAGGCGAAGGTGTTGACCAGAACTGAAGGCCAGACTTTCCGCGTGAGACACGTAACAGCCCTGCCCCACTGCACCAGAGATGGTCCTTCCGTGTCAGCGAAATTTCTTTCTGCTGACCAGCAGCGTTGAACATCTTTCTCTCAGCCTGCTTGCTCGTTGCATTGCCTCTTCTGTGCTCTTCCTGTTCATCTCCTTGGCCTGTTTCTCTCTTTTTTTTTTACTGCTTTTATTGTGGTAAAATGTACAGAGTGTAAGGTTCGCCATAGTAACCATTTTTAAATACTCAGTGTGGTGGCATTTACTGTGTTTGCATCATTCAGCAACCACCACCAGTCTACCCCGGAACTTTTTCATCTTGCAAAACTGGGACTCTGTGTCCCTTAAACAATAACTCTTGTTTCTCTATCTGGCCCCTGAAACCCACCTTTCTAGTCTGTCTCTGATTTTTACTACTCTGATACACTCTGTGTAAGTGGAAACGTTAACATATTTGTACATCGTGCCTGGCTCATTTCACTTAGTATAAAGTTTTCAAGGTTCATGCTGGAGCATGGGATCAAAATTTCCTTCCTTTCCAAGGATGAATAATATTCCACAGGGTGTATGTATCACATTTTCTTTACCTATTCATCAGTTCACATCCATGAGGTGCTTACGCATTTTGGAGGCTGTGAATAATGCCTTTAAGAATGTGGGTATGAGGATATCTGTTTGAGTCCCTGCTTTCACTGTTTGGGGTATATACCTAGAAGTGGAATTACAGAATCACATGCAGCGCTGCTTTAATACTGGAGCCACATGCTCTCATCAACAGCAGCCACACCATGCTATATCTCCCCCAGTGGTGCACAGGGTTCCAATTCCTCCCCATCTTCACCAACACTTATTTTCTGTTTGCATTTTTAAAATTTTTATTTTTATAACTGCCATCTTTGTGGATACAAAATCCGTTTATCTTCGAAAGCCTTGGACTGTGTCTTGATTAATCTGCATGCTGCACTGAAAAGCTCTGTTGCTGGGATGGAAGAAGAAAGCCCATGAGCTCTGCAGCTGCTGTAAAAGACCCTGCCCCAGCGGGTGAAGGAGGCCCTAGCTGACACCCAGATGCCAGCCAGGACAGGTGTGCTGATGGCTCTGAGCTTGCCAGGCACCTGCCCCGTGGACAAAGAGGCGATGAATGTGTGTTGTGCAAGCCACTGTTTGTGTAATTAGTTTAATTGGTTTTGCAGCAACAGAAAAATTAGTAACAGGGTTCAAGATCGGGACACACCCAGGAGAGGCGGCACAGGGGATGGCGATCTGGGGAGGTCAGGCCACCTCCCAAGGGCAGGCAGGGCAGCAGGGCTGGAGTCGGATCTGTCCTTTCTTCCTAGGTTGGAGCAGAGGCAGGAACTCCGCAGTTCCCTGCAGTTCCTGTGACACAGTTGTGGCTGCCACAGAGCCCTCCAGCACCCCCATGAGCCGGTGCGCCCTGCTCGGCTCTGAACACCAAGGGAAGGGGGCCCCTCTTTGCTCCTCTCCAGCCAAAAGGGTGGCTGCTGTCTATGACTGCTCCATCCCCCGGGGCCTGCTGCCTGCTCCGAACCCCCGGCCACATGGCATGCAGTCCCCATGAACACAGCCGGGATGGGGACTGGACAGACTGCAGGGGGAAACTGGTAGAAAGACTGAATGGTTTTCCCAGGATCAAAACCAAGTCAGTGGTCAAATCAAGAACAGGAGCTGAGCACAGGGCTCCTAGGGGAAGCCCAGTACTAAACCAAAAGCAGGCGGCAGGCGCGCTGTGCCTCTACTTCATGCTTTTCTTGCGGAAAGCTGGAATGTACATTTCAAGCCACCCTCGATTAGGGGCCTCAAGTCCTCAGTATCCTTCCAGGTCACCTACTTTCTGAGGACAGGGAAATCAAAATGAGCTGAAGGTGTTTTTTTAAGGAACAAGTGAATCACAATATGCAGTAGCTCCAGGGAAAATGGTCAGAACTGGGTTAGTCCAGCAAATCCTGGGAGATACCAGGGGATTTTCAAGTGATTAAACTATCTGAATTCAATCTCAGGGTTACTGAAAAACAGTGATACTTTGGAGGGCATCAGACTCACTGGAGAAGATTTTTGTTTTTATCTTTTTGTTTTGAGACAGGGTCTGGCTCATGTAGCTCGTATGTTCTCAGACTCACATCTTCAGGCCTCGGGCCTCTGAGTGCTCAGATTACGGGCATGCACCACTGCAACCAGCCACAACACAGACTTCGAAATCCTAATTCAGAAGGTTTGGTCTGGGCCTGGGATTCTGCCCTTTAACCATCACTTCAAATAAGTCTGATGTGGGTTGCTGCCACTATTGGAGACAGCAAGCAGGTTAGAAATAAGATATCTACTTCAGATACTCATACCAACATTTTGTGTGCTTGCAAACATTTCAAAACTGCTTATAAACAAGACAGCATTGCTAATAAGGAAATTGAGGAATAGTGTGGTTAAATAAATTGCTCAATATTTACCATCAACTTGCTATATGAGCCAAAAACAGGAAGGAAAAAAAGCAAAACAAAACAAAATCTACTGAGGCTTTACACCCCCACCTCCCTCCACCCCATTCCAAGTCCTGAGAAAACTACTAGAAAATAGCGGGAGGGCCACTGGGTTGTGTTGGTATCAGCAGCAAAGTGCATCCAGCTACCCAGTCTCCATCCGAGAACACTTTTCAGATCTTCAAAGCCAGCCACACTGAGTCTGGGATGAGTTCACCTAGTTTTAATCCACATAGCTAGAACCGCTCGGGAACATGTCTGAACCTATCTCTGGGAAACCACCCTGCATCAGAATCAGGAAGGCTCAGAAGCCCAGCAGACACCCGGCCTACCTAAAGGATCTCCTGCTGCTTTCTGGGTCCTTCTGGATCCTTTCTGGATCCTGCCCAGAAGCTCACACACTCACCCTCTCGTCCTTCCCTGAACACAGGTAAGGGGCTGTCCAGATCCAGTGAGCCGCAAGCACCATGGT